ACAGTCTGGCGGCGTGGTAGGTGTGCAGGCGGATGTTGAGTTGGTCTTCGGCCACGGGAGCCTTGGCGTTGCTTAAACTTTTGTTAACTCTAACCTCCCCTTATATTATTGTATTTGCTTGATTATTAATTAATCGAAAACATTACTTCGCCTACCTTGACTTCCCGAATACTAACACGGGTATCATCGCTGGACTCAAACCCCATTACTATGCATCTCCTTAACAGCCCATACACCATATAAAACCCACTCCATGTCACTCACTGCAGGCAGAATAAACACCTCACGTAAATAGTAAGCATGTTCTTTGGAGCGGTCTGGTCCCTAGCCAGGTTCTGGATGGCATACATAGACGGGCTCCAGAAATTATGTCAGTCACCGTGTGTAATACCTGCACCGAATGATTGACAGGCTTGGGCGGTTAACTGGTTCATGGAAGAATAGTGGTCAATCCTGGGGTCTCAGTCTCCATGGCACTTCAGCAAATTCCTCAATATAAAGCATTTGGCAGGATTTTTAAATATTATGGCGCGCTAAGTCGTAGCTTGGAAGGCTGCCAAATGATGGGATAAGTCGCTACAGAACCCGTAGTAGTCTCGTGAAGCTTGAGGCTGTCCATCCTGTACTCACAGGCCGGTCGTGGCTTGGCAAAAACTGTGGTCCACAGTCGAGACTACGGCTGGGACGCCTTTTTCCACTTGTATCCGTCCCGTCCAGAGTGGAACTAGCTGAAAGTGCCCAAAACAGTGTGCAGTCTCGCGGACCGCACGTTTACTGAACCGATGGAAACAGTTTTTGGTCCAAATGACGCAATAAAGTACATCAATTTGAACACGCCTCTCCCTATCGTGTGACGACTCTTCTTACGTATTGGTCTCAAGCGCAAACTGTCACAAAGCCCGTTGCTCGTAACAATATCTTACAGTAAAAAAACAATTTTCATCTGTAGATGACTTGCGCTTCATCAGAGTGCAGAGTTGGGCACACACCGTCACAGCACTGAATTGGCAGAAGCAATTGTAAGATAAACGCGTAAGATGAAACTCCGAATTTACTGCCTAGGGCAACTGCAGCACAATTTTGACCATACCTGTCGATTATTGTGCTATTTTAGTGGACCCATTTGCTATTAACTGTCCTGATAGTAAGCAGTAGAGTTTCACAAAGGCGCATATAGGACAGGTAGCGTCCATAGTATGTTACGTGAAGGTATAGATGGTTAAGCAGTGTTTCTGATACACAATTGACCTACTGCCTGTCAAGTAATGCATATTTTCGCTTTCTTATCTTCATGTTCAAAGTTTGATCGTTTGCTTGAGGTCCCATGGCACCCAACTCAGTATTTGGATGGTCATCAAGCCCGCAAG